GGACACATGCAATATAGGCAAACGATAAATAAAGGATTTGCCGAAGTTTAAATGATCCATGCCTCCATCTCTAACTACGGATGTTCATTGCCTAGGCAAGAATCCTAAGGTCTTGTTTGAACAAAGCGAAAGTAAGAGGGTCTCTTCGGTGAACTATCCTTTCCCACAAGAAATTATTTTGGAAAATGAGATAATAAAACTCAAATTATGCCTATCTATCTTTCTCTCTTCCCTCCGTTCTTCCAAAATAAAAATTATTTGTCTTTTTTAACCCTTACTCTCTTATTTATAGGTTTCGTCTATAATTTTTTATTTTTCTTTTAATTTTAATTTTTATTTCCCCAATAATGACTCTTGATAACCTTTCCAATCAATTTGTGATTTTTTATCTTAATTTTGCTTTTTCTACTTTCCACAATAATGAGTTCAAAGGAAATTTTCACATTGGGAGCCAATCATCTTAATAAGAGATTTTTATTTTTTAATTTTGATTCTTCTTATTTTCCTCCTTAACCACTCCACATCACCTTTCTTAATTTAAAAGTCAATCGGCATTTAATGACATATTTTTATCCTCATTTATTGTAGGGAGAATATTTTGTTTGATTTTCCTTTTTGCTTGCCACATAATAGACCTTTCAAACTTGGCCTCCAAGAAAGAATTAAGAAGGACTTTTCTTTTATATTTTTTATATATCTGATTTATTATTATTTTTTTGTGAGCCCGAACAAAATAGGGTGTTTACACTTTATATAAGAGATATTTAGGTGTTGTCTTAAATGTTATTTTTTGATTTCCCATTTTACTCCATTTAATTACTCACTACTTATATTGCTGTATTTAATTCTTAAATATTCCCTCCCCCCCACTGCACATCATTTCTCTTCTACATAATTGAGGATATATAGTTGGCAAAAAATTACATTTTTTGTTACATCTTTATTGTCTTCAACTAATTTTAACCAACATTTTGAACAAGATAATTTAGTTAATTGTCTTTTATAAAAAGGAATGGAGGAAATATGAACCGGATGGGATAATTAGTTAGTTAGGAATACCAGGTAAAAAAATTAATATTTCAGACAAAATATGTTATGTTATGAAACATGCTGTATTCCTTGTAATAATGACGGGAGAGATTATAATTTATATATGATTGTTCTGCATATTTTGGTTATATATATGCGTACGAAGTGTTCAGCTCCATGCCTCCATCTTTCACAGTATATGTAAATTTATTTAGAAGGGATGTTATATATGTCAAATGTGCAAACATACATAATAACATAATAAGTAAATATTTTCAACCACACATTCCAATGATTTCAAAATTATAATTAATTAATAATATATACTAGCATGATACAATACAATTAAAACATATCTTGCCTTATCGATAAACAATTAAATTTACATTTTAAAAATATTATCCTCCTTTTTAAGCCAATTTTTTGTCCTTATATTCGTTGACTGAATCCATGTCACTATTGTATCACAGTAATTATCGGATAAAATTAGAAAAAAAATAAACTTATCCATTGAAAAAAACAAAAGAATAATAACTAGTCAAGAGTACGATTTCCTTGGCTACATCCCTATGGCAATACTTTAACGACGAACTCTCTGATCGGTTGAAAATTCAAAGACTTCTTTCTAATTTTAGAAACTAAGACTGCACTATGACCCTTTCTCGGGGGAAAAAAAAAAAACCCACAATATTCTCTTCTATATAAACAACATCTATCGTCTTCAACCTGGAAAAAAAACAAAACCAACTCTAGCTTTTCTGATTCTTTTCAACCAAATTGTATATACATAAAAAATAAGTTACCACACAAAAACAAATAAGTGTGTAGAGCTAGACAGCATATATAATAAAAAAAATTTGAAGTACTTTGAAGCTATATTTCAAATATGGCGGGAGGAGCTTTTGCTGATCAAGGTCCGGTGAGGCACTACGAGGGAAGGGTGACGGCGTTCGTGCTCGTGACTTGCTTCGTGGCGGCCATGGGAGGCCTTCTCTTCGGTTACGATCTTGGGATCACCGGAGGAGTGACCTCCATGGATCCATTCTTGGAGAAGTTTTTTCCATCTGTGTATAAACAAATGAAGGCTGGCGTGCATGAGAACACGTATTGTAAATTTGATAATCAGATTCTTACGTTGTTCACTTCGTCCTTGTACATTGCTGCTTTGGTGGCTTCTTTCTTTGCCTCTGCCACCACAAGATTACTTGGTCGGAAACCTTCCATGTTTCTTGGTGGTTTGTTTTTCCTTGTTGGTGCTCTCTTAAATGGTTTTGCACTGAACATTGCAATGCTTATCATTGGCCGTATATTGCTCGGTTTTGGTGTTGGCTACTGTAATCAAGTAAGTAGTCTCTCCTGTTCTTTCTATGAGAGAAATTTTTTCGAGTTTTATTGATCCCGTTTATAAGGAACAACAAGTTTATCGTCTGCATTTCTTAAAATTTTTCTTTTATATCATATTAATTTTAAAAAAAAGAGGATTTATCAACAAGATCAATTGTTAAAACCACAAGTAATTAAATGATGATATTTTAAAAAGAAATTTGAATTTTTAACCTATTGATTAATCTTATTAACGTTAACTATATATGTTTTATCATTGAAAATAAGTTATTCTGTCTCTTTTAACCATTTTTAAGTGCTTCCCTTCGAAGTGTGGCATATATGTATATACACTCTCTTACTTTGAACCTAAATATAAAACACCTTTAACTGAATGTTGCCAATTAAGGAAGCTAGTTGACAGCTTTAATTTTCATAAAACAATATATATATATATATATAAAATCTTTTCTAAATTTGCTTGCTTTTTATTTAATTTTATTGAAAGAATGTACGATAATGTGTAGACTCTATTTCATTACCCATTTTCACGTCAACTGAATCTGAGTATATTAACTTGGCAATTAATGAATAGTAAATATTGCATCCTACTTTGCAAAGGGTTCTATATATATATATATATATATATATTTCTTTTAAGAAAAATATAAGAAAGGGCTCTTTAAGAATTGGAGCGCGTGATCATATAATGTCTTGAAATCAATATTATGACTTTTTTTTAATCTAATTCACAGTATCTCTAAATCACTATAGATTTGAGACTAATCTGTGTCCAGGAAATCAATATTATGATTTATTCTTCAATGTGTTCACAGTCTGTTCCGGTGTATTTATCTGAAATGGCTCCGGCAAAAATCAGAGGTGCACTAAACATGGGATTCCAGATGATGATAACAATTGGTATTTTGGTTGCAAACCTCATAAACTATGGGACAGCTAAGTATAGACAAGGATGGAGAATCTCATTAGGTTTAGGAGCAGTGCCTGCCTTTTTGTTGTGTTTAGGATCACTTTTCTTGGGTGACACACCAAACTCCCTAATAGAAAGAGGTCAACACGAACAAGCCAAGGCAATGCTAATAAAGATCCGAGGAACCGAGAACGTCGACGAGGAGCTTCAGGATCTGATCGATGCGAGCGAAGAAGCCAAGGAAGTTCATCATCCATGGAGAAACATCACACAACCCAAATATAGGCCTCAAATCACTTTCTGCTGTTTCATTCCATTCTTCCAACAATTAACAGGCATCAATGTCATTATGTTCTACGCACCAGTTCTTTTCAAGACTCTTGGATTTGGTTCTCAAGCTTCCTTGATGTCAGCTGTTATTACTGGAGTTGTTAATGCCTTGTCCACGCTAGTTTCTATACTCACTGTTGATAAGTTTGGAAGAAGGATTTTGTTCCTTGAAGGTGGCTTCCAAATGCTTATTTGCCAGGTATATATATACTCCTCCCATTTCAAAATATTTACATACAAGACATTTACACCCACAAATAAAAATAGCTATAGGTATTCTTTGAGTCCTTTTTTACGAGTGGCAAACAATTAATTTTCAACAATGAAAATAATAGTTAAAAAGTCAGTTAGGTTGATAGACATGTTAAAAATGCATATTTCTTTTACAATATACTCTTATTTCATAATTGATTGGAGACTTTTAATAATTGATCTCCTTAATAAATACTCGTTTTTAATAAAAGTATAGAAAGGAAAACTTCAATAAATGCTCTAGACCAAAAAAAAAAAGTTATTTCTTATAAATAGGACCAAAAGAATAGTTCAGCTCTCAATTTTATTTCTCAACTTTACCCTTTATACTATCATTAATTTTAATATTAATGAAGCCCGATAATGGGAGGCAACCCGTTTCCATATATTCTCAGGGGCATTTTAGGTGTAAGAACCCTTAAAATTTTGAACAAAAAACCTTATATATATATATTAAATTATATGTTGTTTGTTTTTCTGAAAATGACTTATATTGAAAACAAGGGTAGTATGTATTTTATTTACATCTAACGAATGCTTTTCGTATTTAGCGTCAAATGCCTCGTCTTGCATGTTAAAATCTCTCCGAGCACTTCAAAATGTACTAATATGCGTTACATTGAATTGCTATTCTAGATTGCTGTGGGAGTCATGATAGGTTTGAAGTTTGGAGTAAGTGGTCAAGGATCATTTAGCAAAGTAGAGGCAGATGTGCTTCTGTTCTTAATATGCGCATATGTTGCAGCCTATGCTTGGTCTTGGGGACCCTTAGGTTGGCTAGTTCCTAGTGAAATATGCCCTCTCGAGATCCGATCGGCCGGCCAAGCCATCAACGTCGCCGTCAACATGTTCTTCACTTTCATCATTGCTCAGATCTTTCTTTTCATGCTTTGCCACATGAAGTTCGGCCTCTTCTTCTTCTTCGCCGGCTTCGTTGTCATGATGACCATTTTTGTTGCTCTGCTCCTCCCAGAAACAAAGAACGTTCCTATTGAAGAAATGCATCTTATTTGGAAAACACATTGGCTTTGGGGCAAGATTGTTCCTCTCAGTCGCATGCCTTCACCGAATGTTGGATACAATCGAAAGGCTATTAATCTTTGAAAGATTATATAGTAGTTAAATATGCACTGAATAAAGAAAAAAATGTGAGAAGAATCAGGAAAACGTTTGGATATGACTTCATTTCTTTCCAAAGTTCACACCCTCTCTCTCTTTCGAGACTAATAATTTTGATTTCTTGTGCATAGAGGAGTTGTATATGATGTATGAAAATTACATGTGTATAAAATTACATGTGTATATTCTTCAATACATTTTGTACACAAAACGTTTTGTAATAGAAATACAAGCAATGGACATGGATCCTTTCTACTTTCTCTTAGTATCTTTTTCCATACACAATCCCCTTGTTCTTTATTTAATTGTTCATTTGATTTAGTAATGTAAGATCGCTAATTGTGGCATTAAAATAATATTACCTCTGATTCTTAATATAAGAGCTAAATAACTAATTTGTCCATATTAAGAAAATTAGTTAAACTAGCTATTTGTAACAAATATGTGTTGTTTCTTTTTTTAAATATCTTTGTTCATAATGTGTATTGGAATAGAGGCCGTTTAACATGTATAACATCATAGGCACTACTTTAAGAATAAATAAATAAATATAGGAGACAAAATATATTGATACTTTAGAATCAAAATGAATCTTCAATTAGCTTATATTTAGGACTGGAGGTAGTACAATATTTAATCTACATATACCTGCAATAAATTTCATTCACTTTTAGGCCATTAACTTCGGTCAATGGGGCATTTTTTTAAAAAAAAAATTATTTTATTTCTTATATTTATTATTTAAATAAAATGTATTTAACTTTAAAATTAAGTTAAATAAAATTTACATGCTAACAATATTTGACTTCTCTATTCAAAACGTAGAAATATCAAATATATTTAAATTTGTACAAATGAGTATTAGAGGATCTTCATATTTGAAGAAGGTGGCGTTCGGATAAATAATTTACAATTGTTTTGTTTTTAGCTTAAGATACAAGAGACTAATCATTGAAAACAAGAGTTTCTATACTAATATTCTCCAGAGCCCTTGGTTTGTTTCAAGAGGTTTTACAATGCTCAATTTTGGATTTGAGTCAAGCAAATGTGATTAATTTTTTTTGTTTTTCCTCCACAACAAGAGTTTACAGGGGGGGGGGGGGAAGCTAAACGTGATCAAATCTTTGTTCTTCTTCTTCTTCTTCTTCTTCTTTTATGCCAGGGATCAATCTTTGTTCATTAGACATAGCATGATCTAAGAGAGGAAGTGACTTAACCATCAAGTTAAGTCTAGCAGAAGGGGTTAATTTCCCATAATATGATAAATCAAAATTCAAATTCCTGTTGAAAGATGCCTATATTTAATACTTGATAGCGTCTCAAGTAATATTATTTCTAATAAGAATATTAGAGATGCCTGTGCCGGGAGGGGGACGTGACTTGTGTATATTGTTCGTCTATCTTGATGATCTAATCATCACACATCTCATGCTGGTAAAAAAAAAAAAAATTCATCACACATCTCAGGTCATAAGCTGCAGAAAGTTGACTATGACAGTTTCTTCATTACATTATTAAATAAGACTAGAAGGTTTGCATAACACGCTTATTTTTGAGAATAAAGAAGCGAATTAAATAAGACTCCATTTTTTAGGCAGCTTCTACTTTGTTTTTATTCTGCATATTGTTAGATGGTATCTATGCAGGTCCCCCCCCCCCGGGGTTGTTTTGAGCATAATCCCTTTTCCATTAAACGAGTCTAATTATAAATAATTCCAATTTATTTTGTATTAAAAAGTTAAATAAAATAAATTAAAGCGAGAATTGACGAAGGATCTGTCCCTTCCTCAACCATACCCTGCAAATAGAGACTGTTAAAACAAAATATTTAATTTACCGATCTCAAGATAATTACTAAATGATTAAATAATAACAAGAAAATTTTATCAACTCAAAAATAGAAATGGACTAGGCTAACGACATTCCTATTTACAGAAAATATCCACATGGCAGTACTTCAACAACGAATTCGGATAAAAAGAACTGCTAATTTAGGAAAACACGACCATGTGACATGTCTTAAAAAGGCACAAAGACGTTGAATAGGATCATCTTTGTGTAAATCAACTCTGACTTTTCGTGCTTCTTGTTCAAATCAAACACTATATAAGCCACAGCAAACATCGTAGTGAAGAAGAGAAAGAAAAAACATATACACTCTTGAAGAAGAAATAAACAAAACAAGATTGAGCATCAAATAAAATTTGAAGTGATATTGCTCAGCTAATTCAAAAATGGCAGGAGGTGGTTTCGTTGATCAAGGTCAAGTTAAGCATTTTGAGGGCAAAGTGACAACCTTTGTGTTGGTCACATGTCTCGTGGCAGCCATGGGAGGTCTTCTCTTTGGTTACGATCTCGGGATTACAGGAGGAGTCACTTCCATGGATCCATTCCTGATCAAGTTTTTCCCTTCTGTGTATAGAAGAATAAAGGCTGGTGTTCATGAGAACACATACTGCAAATTTGACGACGAAATCCTTACGTTGTTCACCTCGTCCTTGTACCTCGCAGCTTTGGTTGCTTCGTTCTTTGCTTCTTCCACTACAAGAATACTTGGTCGGAAACCTTCCATGTTTCTTGGTGGTTTGTTTTTCCTTGTCGGTGCATTATTGAATGGCTTCGCAGTAAACATCGCAATGCTCATCATTGGTCGTATACTGCTTGGTTTTGGTGTGGGTTACTGTAATCAAGTAAGTAATAATAGATCTTTGCATCAGCATACCCGTTTTCATGAGACTTGGGGCTTCTAATGCACCTTTCTCTGAAATTCTCCAAATGCTCTTTGCAACGTCCCAACCTTTCAAAGAAAAAAAAAAAAGCACAATTTCATAGCGTTTTCTTTTGAAAAATCATTAAAAAAATATTGAAAACTCGATGATTTCAAAAGATCACTTATCATTTTATTTAGAATGTAATGGTTATAAAAAGGAAAAAATTCGTGAGGTTGAGGAATTACCAATGGCATTAGAGGAAGGCAGGAAGGCACATTAGAATACCAAGACTCATTTTTCATGTAGTTCGTCTTTTGTTGATTTTAATGTAATTTATCTTGTTTTGAACTATATGACAGTCTGTTCCAGTATATTTATCTGAGATGGCTCCAGCGAATATTAGAGGAGCACTTAACATGGGATTCCAAATGATGATCACAATTGGCATTTTGATTGCGAACCTTATCAACTACGGAACTGCTAAGTATGAAAACGGATGGAGAATTTCTCTAGGTGTTGGAGCAGTGCCTGCATTTTTGTTGTGCATTGGATCAGTTTTCTTGGGAGACACACCAAACTCCATGATTGAAAGAGGCAAAACCGAAAAAGCCAAGGAAATGTTGCAGAAGATTCGTGGAATTGAGAATGTTGATGATGAGCTCCAAGATCTGATTAATGCAAGTGAAGCAGCCAAACAAGTTGAACACCCATGGAAGAACATTGCACAATCCAAATATAGGCCCCAAATCACTTTCTGCACTTTAATTCCATTCTTCCAACAGCTAACAGGCATCAATGTCATCATGTTCTACGCACCAGTTCTCTTTAAGACTCTTGGCTTCGGTGCTGAAGCTTCCCTCATGTCAGCAGTTATTACTGGACTCGTTAACGTTATTGCCACATTGGTGTCTATATTCACTGTGGATAGATTTGGAAGAAGGATTCTGTTCCTTGAAGGTGGCATCCAAATGCTTGTTTGCCAGGTAACATATATACAACTTATACGATTCTACATTGTAATGCACTATTATATTATATATGCCTATATGCTCCGATTGGTACAAAATATAAGTCACTTTCAACCGTTTCATTGAAACTAAGAACGAGTGGTTAACTCATTAAATCTTTCCTGAATTGAAAAAAATTTCCAACATTGATTCACTGGTGTTAATATTTTTGTTTCAGATTGCCGTGGGAGTCATGATAGCTTTGAAGTTTGGAGTGAATGGGCAAGGTTCATTCAACAAAGGTGAAGCCGACTTGCTTCTGTTCTTGATTTGTGCATATGTGGCAGCATTTGCTTGGTCTTGGGGACCATTGGGATGGTTAGTGCCAAGTGAAGTGTGTCCTTTGGAGATCAGATCAGCTGGGCAGGCCGTTAATGTTGCAGTGAATATGATCTTCACATTTCTAATTGCCCAGATCTTCTTGCTCATGCTTTGCCACATGAAGTTCGGTCTCTTCTTCTTCTTCGCAGCTTTTGTTCTCATAATGACCTTCTTCATTGCTTTCTTCCTTCCTGAGACTAAGGGCGTACCCATTGAAGAGATGAACTCAGTGTGGAAGTCACATTGGTTCTGGAATAAGTTTGTTCCCCTCGATGCTGACACAAAAAGTCATGATCAGAAGACAAATCCATGAAGCTGTTAAAGGGGGAGAAATTTTCATGTTGGACATAATAACATGATGACAAGTACGTGAAAAGAATTGAAATCAATAATTGAGGAAAAAAGGGTCAATGATCTTGAGTGATGATGTTGAAAAAATACTGAATAAATCATTCAGTTCTTTTCGAAAGCTTGTACACTTTTATTTACGAATATGAAATTTGTTTCTCCAAAGATTTGCATCCCTTTTTTACTTAGGAATATGAGTTTATCTTTCAGATAATTTTACATGGGAAATTCACATTTTAGCCTTTTTTTTTTCCTGTTAGAATTTATCTCGTTATATACGTGTCGCATATATGGTAGTGTTGAACCCAAGCAATAACAGTAATTCTAACGAGAGATTATAATTAACTAACACACACACGCACGAATGTATGCGTATTGTATACTATTTGAAAGCATCGATTCATTACAGAATAGTATTTGTAAGCCTTACTATTCATTATTTATAAATAGTATAAACCTTTTTAATTACATTTTTATATTGGAAAAAAGACATATAATTACCTTCAAAATTATAAAATTTCAAATCAATGCTTTAAATTTCACAAATGCCGAATTCTTTCCCACATACCAATTTGAAATTTCAAAATGTTATCAATTT